TCCCGGTCCCTCTTCTCCACTTACGCTCCTGGTCCCGCTCCCGGTCCCGCTTCCCGCTTGCGCTCCCCGCTCCTTGCTCCTGCTCCAGCACCCGTCTCCCCCCACCTTCCACTCCCACTCCGACCTTTCCTGTTACGGACTCAGCCAGGGCTCGATCCCTGGGCCGCGGGTTACCACCCGCCAGACTGCTATTTTATTTTTGAATCACTGATCTCCGGTTCCTGACTGTTGGCGCCCGTTCTCAAATCCTCCCCCTGACAGTTTCAGATTTTTATACTTGGCCCCATCCGACATTCTGGCGCCCAGGCTCAGACCTTCGATTTTCAGTTAAGCCCCGAGGCAAATTGCACTTCTGCCCTCCGGACTCAACTTGAGTCCGGTACTTAAAACCGGACTTGAGTTGATGTGGCTCCGTGGTTAGAGCACCGGTTGGAAATGTGCATTCAGGTTGGGGTATGAGGTTGCGGGTTCAAAACTCAATTGCAACCCTACGCATGGACACCGACAGGACGTTAGACTAATGCACGGCTGGACACACTCCCTTGGGCAGACGCATGGTACTATTATAGACACTGCCTGCGCACCACCCGAGGGTTGTTCATAGTGTTGTATGTTGGTTCTGGGTTTCATATGGGTTGCTTGGGGGTGTTGGTCTTGGGCGTTCTGTTGATCTCCCCAGTCTGGCATATCACACGTTCGCGCCATTTCCCCTAGCCGTTCACATGGTAGAGTCATACGATTACATGTTTCAAGGTCACGGGTTCGAGCTTGGCTCGGATCTTGGGGGGGTCCTTGTCCAGCTTACCCCGTTCTCTCTTCGATATACACACATGATGCTGCCTATACATCTCTATACATTGATTCACAGAGCACACACAACCTTTGGGCATATACATAGCTTGCGAATTATACATGGCCTACGGGCTACATACACAAGTTTCCACACATAGTGCTGTCTATACATCTTCATACATAGATACACGAAGCATATACAGCCTTCGGGTATACACATACATTTGTTGCTATGGGTACAGGCATGAGAGGTGCGGTGCTGTGCTGGATGGAGGCCCCTAGGGCAAAAAAAAAAAAAAAAAAGGGGCGGCCCAGGACGTTTGTCGGGTCCTAGCCGCCCCTCGAAAAATAACAGGGTGATTTTTAAGTGTCCTTTCACCCCACCGGACATGGCGTAGAGGTCCAGACACAAGACACTTCAGGTTTTTGAGGTGGCAGGTTTTGCACAGGCCCGAGCAATTTCAAAGCGCCGTTTCGACGTGGCGCCCGCCGCTCCTGCTCGTTAGGGGGAGAGAGAGACTGTTATAGTCTGCAACTTCACACGGGCCTCCACAGGCCCGACACACCGGTTCAGGGGGACCCAGGCCGGCCTAACCAAAGGCCAGGCCTTTTTCCTCCCGGTAGGCCCTATTAGGCCACCGGTTGGACCTCGGTATCAGCAGACCCACGTCTGGCCCAAACGACAAACCGTTTGGGCCTGGCGGCGCTCTTGAGGCTGCCGCCCACCGGTCTGGGCTGAACGACTATTTTCGACGGTTCAGCCCACGACGCAGGAGGCCAGCATTGAGGCCGACCGGCCGCCGGATGGTACGTAGGCCGGTCCAGCGGCCATTCCTGCAGGTTGGAACGAGGGAGCAACAAGAGGCAGCACTGCGCTATTTCAGTTTAGCGCAGCACCAGGAGCAGCAGCGCTAGGTTAGCGCTAGGCTGCAGTGAGGGATAGAGAGGGAGTGAGCTACTTACCTGGTACTCACCTCTGGCGCCATAGCTTCAACGGGGTTCGACTGCAG